TTAAAGATTTAATTTATTTCATTCCCACTAGGAAACAGCAGTAGAGGTGATGGCAACAGAGGGTCTGCAGAGACCAGGGATATGGAGAAAGCCCTGGCACAACCCAGGGAGCCAAACACCCCAAGACACAGACCTGAACCCCTCAATCTGACCCACAGCAGCCCCCAGCTGACCCCCAGAGCCCCCCACTCACGACAATCCTTCTCATCCTCTCCGTCCCCACAGTTGTCCTGCCCGTTGCAGCGGAAGATGCCGGGGATGCAGCGGTTGGTGTTGGTGCACTTGAACTGGCTGGGCAGGCAGACGTGGATGTCTGGGGACAAGGTGACAATCAGGGTGTTAGAAACACTTAATCATGAGAATGATTCTATGCAGGGGCTTTTATTGAAGAGCTGGAGGCACCTCAGGGACACAAACCTGGTGTTGGGAGGACGCAGGAGTGCCCAGAGTGTGCTTTAGATTTGGAAAAGAGAGCTCTGGGTGTCAGGGGTACAAACCCAAATCTGACCCCGACATGGGTTCGGGATGAACATGTTTTTATATTCTATCGTTCTATAACTTTCATGTTAATGATTAAACTTATATTGTTCTATTGTATACATAGATTTCATCCAAGCATGGGCTCCTCGTGGTCCCCCTCAAAATTCTAACATAGTTTCTCATGATTCTTCTCACATCTTATTTAACAATAAATATATTTAATTACTAAACTAATTACTAAATAAATATATTTAATTACTAAACAATCATCACATCTAACAATTTTATCATTTATCATATACTGCTTACACAGGTGCGATTTCACATCATCTGGCAAACACAAAGCCTAACATTTTCAGTGTCTCTTTTTAACATTTTTCCAGGGCCCCACTAAGTCCAGCTTCTTTCTAATTCCCCGAATTTTATGATTTTAAAACCTTTTATTATCAAGGGGGTGACAGGCAGCATCTCCACGCTGTGGAGGGTCACAGGGGGACACAGGGACCTACCACAGTTGGCCTCATCCGAGTTGTCCTGGCAGTCGTTGTCGCCGTCGCAGATGAAGGCGGGGTTGGTGCAGATCCCTGTGGAGCACTGGAACTGCCCTGGCCTGCACTTGAACTCAGCTGTGGGGCGACACAGAGCCACAGGTTTGCTCTGAGGAACATTTTGAGGGCACATCTCAACCTCAAACCCCTGCTCCATCCCTCTGGTGTCATCTGGACACTGCCTGGATTCAGCATCCAATTCTGGGCTCGGGCACTGCTCCATGGGACAGATGTGTCCCACTGCTCCCTGAACCCTGTTGTGACTGACCCTCCCCTCCACGGGGCTGTCCCAACAGCCACCCCTGCTCATCCTGGGACACTTTGGGGCTGTGTCACCCCCTGGCACTCACGGCAATCCTCCGGCTCGTCCGACCGGTCCCCGCAATCGTCCTCGGTGTCGCATTTCCACCAGAAAGGGATGCACTTGTCGTTCTTGCAGACAAACTGATGGAGAGAGCAGCTCATGGATTTCAGGACAAACTGATGGAGTTCAGGATGGGGAGAGGGGAGCCCAAAAGATTTCATCCCACTGAGCTCAGCCACGGGCACTGATCCTGTGCTGTCCCCTCTGGGCATTCCCAAATCCTGACCCAGAGCAAAGCCTTAACCCCACCCAGCCCTTGGGGTTTGAGGAGTGGGGTAAAAGAACATTCCAGAGATGGAGGGTCTCTGGCTCCACTTCAAACATGAAGTGCCACAGGAGGGAGGTGCTGCCTGCACCCAAACAACACCAGGGAGATCATGGCATGAGGGAACCGGACATGGGGAACACCCAGACAGGCAGGGACAGGTGGGGACAGGAAAGGACAGGAAAGGACAGGCAGGGACAGGCAGGCAGGAGCTTACCTGGCTGGCAGTGCAGTTGGACACGCAGGTTTTGCCATCACTGCCCAGGTAGAAGTTGGTGGGACAGGCACATTTGTGCCCCCCACCTGGGGAAAGCAGGCAGAGGTTGCTGCAGCCACCGTTGTTGGTCTTGCAGGGGTGGTTGGGAACTGGGGAGAGCAGGGTGACAACAGCAAGTCAGACCAAGCTGAGGACCCTCAGGGTGGCAAGACCCTTGTCACCCTGCTCCTGCTCCCCCTGCCCAACCTGGCATCCCCCCACATCCCTTTCCTGGGGTGGTTCCCCAGGACCCCCAAGCTGTGCTCCGTGAGAAATTAAAATGAGAATTTAAACTTCTATTTCTCCAAAGTATCCAGTCTTATTTGCAAGAATTTGTACTTCTATTTCTCCAAAGTATCCAGTCTTATTTACAAGGCCACCCTTTGCAACTTGTTTCTACTTCCATTTCTCTCTCTCTCTCCCACTCCATAGCATTTCCAAGCCAGCATTTCTTATCTCAAGGTTTGCACACAGTGTGAGGTTTTTGTCAGGCTTGGAGAATTTTCTACAAATCCCTTTCCCACGTTGCTCACCGTCAGGCTGGCGGTAGGGGTGGTAGATGTGGATGTCCATGGGCCTGTGCAAGGTGCTGATCAGCAGGGTCTTGTTGGCTCCTGTTGTTTTGTGGGCTCGGTTGATGGATTTGGTCTCCCAGTCAGTCCAGTAGATGAAATCCTCGAAGAGGGTGAGCGCGAAGATGTGAGGGATGTCCTGGCTCAGCACTGAGAGGGGAATGGGTGCTCAGAGAGGGGCTGTGCCATGTTCCCCTCCCACAAAGAAGCAGCAAAGAGGACACAGAGGGGTGACCAGAGCTGGGGACTGTCCCCAACAGTGCTGGCTCCAACACCTGACCCAGAGCCTGGAGCCCCCCAAGGTGTGCTGGCACCCATGGAGCTGAGCACTGAGAGGGGAATGGGTGCTCAGAGAGGGGCTGTGCCATGCTCTCCTCCTACAAAGAAGCAGCATGGACACAGAGGAGTGATCAGAGCTGGGGACTGTCCCCAAGAGCTCCCAATCCAACACCTGGCCCAGAGCCTGGCTGTGCTGGCACCCATGGAGCTCAGGAGCAGGCACTCAGAGAGGGGCTGTGCCACGTTCCCCTTCCAAAAGGAAGCAGCCTGGACACAGAGGGGTGGCCAGAGCTGGGGACTGTCCCCAACAGTGCTGGCTCCAACACCTGACCCAGAGCCTGGAGGCCCCCAAGGTGTGCTGGCACCCATGGAGCTGAGCACTGAGAGGGGAATGGGTGCTCAGAGAGGGGCTGTGCCATGTTCCCCTTTCACAGAGAAGCAGCCTGGACACAGAGGGGTGGCCAGAGCTGGGGACTGTCCCCAACAGTGCTGGCTCCAACACCTGACCCAGAGCCTGGAGCCCCCCAAGGTGTGCTGGCACCCATGGAGCTCAGGAGCAGGCACTCAGAGAGGAGCTGTGCCATGTTCCCCTCCCACAAAGAAGCAGCAAAGAGGACACAGAGGGGTGGCCAGAGCTGGGCACTGTCCCCAACAGTGCTGGCTCCAACACCTGACCCAGAGCCTGGCTGTGCTGGCACCCACGGAGCGCTCACCCGTGTGCCTGTTGGAGCCATCCAGGCTGGCAAACTCGATGTAGTCCTCGCGGGCATCAGCCCAGTAGATCCTGCTGTTGATGTAGTCCAGGGTGAGCCCGTTGGGCCAGGTGATCTTGGTGTCCACGATGACGCTGCGGTTGGTGCCGTCCATGCCGATCTTCCCAATCAGAGAGTGGTCACCCCAGTCTGTCCAGTAGAGGTAGCTGGGGGTGAAACACAAGAGATGGTGAGCTGGAAACCACAGAAATTCCTCACTGTGAGAATCCCTGGCACAGGATGTCCAGAGAAGCTGTGGCTGCCCCGTTCCTGGAAGTGTCCAAGGTTGGATGGGGCTTGGAGCAACCTGGGATGGTGGAATCCAGGAGCAACCTGGGATAGTGGGGTGGAACAGGATGGTCTTTAAGGTCCATTCCATCCATGACTCTGTGATAAAC